ATATATATTTATTATGTATATAATGTTCTGCCTGCATGTGTGACTGCACACCAGAAGAAGGCACCAGATCTCATTACAGATGGTTGTGAGGCACCATGTGGCTGCTGGGAATTGAACTCAGAACCTCTGGAAGAGCAGTCAGTGCTCTTACCCTCTGAGCCATCTCTCCAGCCTTAAATAATCCATGGAACCCCCTCCAACAGAGTAGCAGCTGCCAGGTTGTGGCCCTTGAGCCTCCTCCCCCCAGCTGAAGCCCTTTCAGTAACCTCTTTCCCAAGTGCGGTGCAGGGGCTGGTCTGAACACCATGCCACGGTTTTGTCTGACTGGGGTTGTGGGGTTCTGCAGCGTTAGTGACCTCAGTGTGCCTCGGATCCTGGTGGCTGGAGGCTTTGCGGGGATCTTCAACTGGGCTGTGGCAATCCCTCCAGACGTGCTCAAGTCTAGGTTCCAGACTGGTGAGTGGTACGGATCTGGACGGGGTGGGCTCTAGCACTGACTGCCCTGGGGTGCAGGGGTTTTGTTTTTGTTTCTAAAGAAAGGGTCTCATGTAGCCCAAGCTGGCCTCTAACTTATTATGTAACCAAGGCTGATCTTGAATTCTTGCTCCTTCGGCATACCTCCCAAGTGCTGGGATTATAAGCAGAGGTACCCCCCTTCTTACCTGGTGAGTGCTCAGGTCTTTGTTCATGGCAGAATCCAACATCTGACAAACCTTCTCCACATTTCTATGCTAGAAACCCTAGGATTTCTTCCCTGTCAATCTAAACACAAAGCAGGAGTCTGCTCTCCCTCCCCGACATGACCTGAGCTGTTTAATTCCATTTTTAATTCCCTTGGCACCATTAATCCATACATTTGTGTCTTTGCCTCAGTGTCAGCTGCTTTGTGAACTACTTCTAGATGACTATCAATGTGTCCTTACCCTGGTGCTAGCTCTGACCCAACATTTGACTATTAGATTGTCCTCATGTGTGTTGCTGTGGTCAAGTCACAAAGCTTCCTGGAATTTAAAAAAATTGGGTTCTGCCCTACAGCACCTCCTGGAAAATATCCTAATGGTTTCAGAGATGTGCTGAGAGAGCTGATCCGGGATGAAGGAGTCTCATCTTTGTACAAAGGGTTCAATGCAGTAATGATCCGAGCCTTCCCAGCCAATGCAGTGAGTATCTGACAAGGGCTAGGAATTTTTCTTCTGGACTCAGTGCAAGGAACTAGCTTTTGCTCGCTTTTGGGATTGCCAGAGCTTCCCCATCCACTGGCTTTCTTGTAGCTGCCAGCATTGCCACAGTGGGACTCCTTAAGGTCAGAAATTTGAATTTCTTGATCTGGTTATCAAAAGCGGTAGCTGCAGGATATGTGTTTTCTCTATTTCTTCTCTTCCTTCTCTTCCCATCCTTCTCTTCTATTCCCCATTTCTAAAAACAAGGTCTCTATATGTAGCCCAGGCTGCCTCAAACTCTCAGGAAAAGTGCTAGGATTGTAAGGGTGTATCGCCATGCCTAGCCTTGGCCATGCACATCGTTTAAAATTTATTTTTATTTATTTATTTTGATTTTTTTTTAAACAGAAATTCTCTGTGAAACAGTCCTGGCTATCCTGGAAGTCATTCTGTAGACCAGGCTGGCCTCTTCTGCCCCCCAAGTGCTGGGATTAAAGGTGTACACCACCACTGCCTGGCCTATTTTTATTTTTTGCGCATTGGTATTTTGCCTGCATGTATGTCTGTGTGAGAGTGTCAGCTCTTTTTTTGTTTTGTTTTGTTTTATTTTTTGAGACAGGGTTTCTCTGTAGCTCTGGAGCCTGTCCTGGCACTAGCTCTTGTAGACCAGGCTGGCCTCGAACTCAGAGATCCGCCTGCCTCTGCCTCCCAGTATTGGGATTAAAGGCGTGCGCCACCACCGCCCGGCTGAGTGTCAGCTCTTACAATTAGAGACAGTTGTGAGCTGCCATGTGGATGCTGGGAATTGAATCCAGGTCCTCTAGAATAGCAGTCAATGTTCTTAAATACTGAGCAATCTCTCCAGACCTAGCCATGCACATTTTACTCCTCTTGGGAGTAAGTGACTATGCTTCCTTTTCCCTCTCTCCTCTCTCCTCTCCCTATCTTTTCTTTCTTCTTTTAGCCGGGTGCTACTGTGTAGTCCAAGTTGGTTTCAAAGTTGCAGTCTCTCTAACTTAGCCTCTGGAGCATTGGGTACACAGGTGTTCTTTACCACACTCAGCTTAGTTTGCTCTCTTAGTATGGGTAGAAATGGGGTTAGGTAGGGAAGGGGCTCTGGCATTGGCAGGGCTAACCAAGCATGGCGCTGTGGGTGGAATCTACAGTCACTCCCTCTTGCTGCTTTTTCTTTCCCACCCAACCTTCTCTTAGGCCTGTTTCCTTGGCTTTGAAGTTGCCATGAAGATCCTTAACTGGATTGCCCCCAACTTGTGAGGCTGAGGACTGTTCAAGACTTCTGGATGCTGGACTGCTGTTGCTAAGAAGCAGTGGGCAGGACTAGGTAGTCCTGAAGGGTGAGGGGAGGGAAATGGTGGAATCAGAGCTCCAGGCATGGCTATGATGGTGAAATTGTTGCCTTAACAACATCCCCTACCTTGTATAACTTGGTGTGCCATTTTGAAACTTGAATTTAGAAGATTTCCAGAGAATTGGAGATGGAATAAATAGTTTATAGACTTACTACCTTTGACCAAATTGCCACCTCCTGGTTGACTGATGGCTCTACTGCACTCAAAATACTCCTCGCTGAAGAGATAATGGCTGACTCTCTGGAGGCCCCTTGCCTGTTTTCAACCAGCTAAATCAGGAGCTGGGATCTTCTGTTGCTAGCCAGGAAAACCCAGCAGATTTCTGTGGTGCCATCTACTCCTGGGCTGCACAGAGCGATGTAGGCGTGAAGCCCACATCTGTCTACCAAATGGACTAGGTAGATATACCTAAGAACAGACCACTTATTAACTATTGTTTGATATTTTTACACAAGAATATAATAAAAAATAAACAAGAATTGTCTAAATTCCCAGGAGAAGGTGAAGAATTTTCCTTCCTACTCAGTGAAGACAGCCCCAACCTCCTGGGTAAGTGAATGCCATAATATAGGAAGGCTCTTTTTGCACATTCTTTCCCCATGAGAGCACTCAATTTTAACAGGAAACAATAAATATTGTTTCTAATTTTTGCATCATGTGATATTTTATCTTGTGATTCAGGGACAGTTCAGCAGGGTTGGGTATGCCTTCGGAGGCTGTCCGGAATCAGTGTCTGTTCCTGGGAGCCCTAGGCCGGACCTCTAGCAGGCAAGAAGGAGGTTTTACTGGCTTGGAGTTCTCTGGTTCCCTTGATATTGCAGGGAGGATGGGTTTGGCTGGGAGGCTTCATTGGGTTGTTCATAATAAAGTTTTTGGTGTCAGTCTGGCAGGCAGGCCAACCCAAAACAATCTTGTAGTCCATCATTTCAAATTTATTTTCCTTTCGTCCTGAGTTACATGGCTCTCCATGTTTATAAAGGATAAGTCAGTTGTTCAAAAAAAGATAAAAACAGTTCTGAGTTTGGAGGTGGCTGTGGGTCTGGCGTTTGCTGTGTATCTGATGTAGCCAGAGGGAGTTGGAACAAGGAGCCCTAAGCTTCTTGGTCCTTGTCTTAGTGGATGAGAGAGCAGGGAGCCCTAAGCTTCTTGGTCCTTGTCTTAGTGGATGAGAGAGCTTACTAAAGGGAGTTTGGCTTTTCTGGCACTGTCCTGCCTGGCCGGAACAGTTAGTTCCACTGTCACTTCCTGCCTTGTCAAAGCCCTGAAGAGATCCTTGGGACTTTGGCTTTAGAACTGTCACTCTGAGCATGAGAATGACAGACACACTTCACTTGGGAGTTAGGGTATGTAAGTAAACTTGCAGGAAGCTGGAGAACAGAGAGTTCAAGGAAGGAAGCTGTATTTGGAGGAGAATATTTCTGAATGATCATGTGAAAATTATGGCCAAGTAGGGGACCAGCAAGATGGCTCAGAGGGTAACTTAGTTGTTTGTTTGAGGCAGGGTCTTCCTTATTCCAGCCTGGCTTTGGATACTCAGTAGCTGAGTAAGATGACCTTCAACTTCTGATCCTTCTCCCTTCCCTCACGAGTACTGAGATTACAAGAGTGCGTCACCATAATCAGTCTATGGGGTGCTGGCGACCAAACCCAGGGCACTACCTATGCTAGGCAAGCTCTTTACCAACTTTGCTATATATTCAACCAAAAATAAAGTATTTCACGTTTTGAAAGATTTTTAATTATGTGTTTGCATGTGGGTATGTGAACATGAGTGTGGGTGCATGAGGAGGCAGAGGCAGCAGATTCCCTGGAGCTGGAGTTACAGCTGCCTGATGTGGGTGCTGGGAATCAAACTCTGGTTCTCCTGGAAAAGCAGCAGGTGCTCCTAACTGATAAGCCATCTCTTCAGCCCCACCCTCACTTGGTTTTTGTTTTTGGTTTCTTTTTTTTTTTTTTTTTGTTCTTTTCTGAGACAAAGTTTCTTTGTGTAGCTTTGGAACTTGTCCTGGAACTCACTCTGTAGACCAGGCTGGCCAGGACATAAAATGTTATGTCCAGGACAACACAGAGAAACCCTGTTTCAAATCAAACAAACAAAAAACAAAAGAAAGCAAAGTTACCACCAATGTATTACAGCGAGATCTGCATGCTGGGATTGAAGGTGTGTGCCACCACTACCCAGCCTGTTTTTGATTTTGTTTGAAATAGGATGCCTGTCATGTAGCCCAGATTGGCATCAAACTCATTAGCTAAGGATAACCCTAAATTCCTGGACCTCTTAAATTCTGGGATTATTGGTATGTTTCTCATACTTGGCTAAACATAACATTTTGTCTGTGTGTGTTCACAAATGCATGTGTGTGAATGAGCATTTTTAAGTGTGTGGTATATGCACAAGTATATGGGAGTGTGCGCAAGCACTGAGGCCAAAGGAAGGCGGTGAGTGTTCTGCTTTGAGACAGTCTCCCTGAACTGGAGCTAGGCTGAGGGTCAGCCCTAGCAATCTTCCTCTCTTCACCCCCTCACATTGCTGGGGTTGCACACATACATGATGGTGCCCAGGTTTTTTGTTTTTTGTTTTTTTGTTGTTGTTGTTTTTCGAGACAGGGTTTCTCTGTAGCTTTGGAGCCTGTTCTGGAACTAGCGCTGTAGACCAGGCTGGCCTCGAACTCACAGAGATCCGCCTGCCTCTGCTTCCCGAGTGTGTGCCCAGGTTTTTACATGGGTTCTGGAGATGTGAATTCAGATCCTCATGCTTGTACAGCTCATGCTATTACCCGCTGAGACATCTCCCCAGTCCTAAATGAGTTACCAAAAAGAAAAAAGACAAAAACTGGGGGCCTTTTTTCTGGGAATGTTAATTCAGTTTTAATTCCATCTTGCTCCTGCTGGAGGATCATTAGTGTCTCATGACCAGAAGATGGCCTACTTTTTTGTGGGTTTTGTTTGTTTAGTTTTTGTTTTTTTTGAGACAGGGTTTCTCTGTAGCTTTGGAGCCTGGCCTGGAACTAGCTCTGTAGACTAGGCTGGCCTCAAACTCACAGAGATCTGCCTGCCTCTGCCTCCTGAGTGCTGGGATTAAAGGCACGCGCCACCACCGCCCGGGTTGTTTTTGTTTTTTAAAAGCAAAGTTAGCCAGGCTGTGGTGGCTCATGTCTTTATCCCAGCACTTGGGAAGCAAAGGCAGGCGAATTTTTGTGTGTTTGAGGCCAGCCTGGGCTTCACACGAGTTCCAGGACAACACAGAGAAACCCTGTTTCAAATCAAACAAAAAACAAAAGAAAGCAAAGTTATACCACCAATGTATTACAGCGATGGAGAGCACAGACTTTAGGTTTTAAGTGCAGATTTGAGAGAGGAGAACACTTCAGAAAGGACATGCGTGCAGGCTTCTCTTCAAGTCACCCAGGAGCACTTCTTAATGCTCCCCAGGAAGTGAGCCTGCCTGGAAACCTCATCCCTAGACTGAAAGCGCCTGTTGGAGTATTTGCATTTCAGCCAAAATGCCAGCCATTCTCATGGGGTAGGGTGTAGGATCATTTTCCATTGGAGATACTTCCCATTTGAAAATGGAGTGTTTTGCTTCTTGATATTCATGATGGGGGAGATTATTTTATCCCTTTGCACCTTCAGAGGCTGTGAAGTCCAACAGGGAAGCCCTGGAGGCATGTTTGTGACAGGAGCGGAGCAGATGGCAAGTGACACCCTCCCAGCCCCGGCTGGCTTTTATGATGTCTTTGAAATGCCACCTGTTCCATATATATCTCTTCTTGACAGGAGTGTGGGGGATAGAGTGGGGGTGGGGATTTGGGGACCTCCCCAACGATTTCTCTGTCATAGTTAAGTGGAAGCCAGACAGTGATTGACCAGGGATAATGGCTCGGAGCAGAAGATTTTAAAAAGTTATAACTAGGCTAAGGGCGAGGGACCGAGCAGCTTGCTGCAGCAGCGGCCATTTGGAAGCCCCGTGGCACTATTCCTGATGTTATAACTAGGCTAAGGGAGAGGGAGAGGGCAGCTTGCTGCAGCAGTGGCCATTCGGAAGCATAGCGTACTAGTTTTGATATGAAGGATGCATCTCCCTGCATTTTGTTCACTATGGCCTTTAGAGGCTAGAAGCACAATCCAAGCCCCCAACCCCCAAACACATAGACTTGTTTCTTTCTTTGACTCCATCCCATTATGTAACCCAGGCTGATCTCAAACTTGCTGTGTAGCCCAACTGGCTCTTGAATGAATGATCCTCATGCCTTTGCCTCCCAAGTGCTGGGATTACAGGCATGAACCACTGTACAAAGTTCTCTCCTGCCTTTTGTCTTCTTCATATTCTCTCATTTCCTCCTTTCCTTCTTTTCCCCTTTTATCAATTGTAGGGTAGTACAGGACTTCCATTTCAGCTATTCAGAAGGCTGAAACAGAAGGTCACATGTTCAAGGCCAGCTGTGACAATTCAAGGCCATCCCAGGCAACTTCGTGAGGCTGTCTCGAAATAAAAACATAAAAGGCCCGGGACTGTGTGTAGCTCAGTAGTGCTTAAGAGATGTGTGAGGCCCTAGCTTCAATTCCCTGTTTAAAAAAGAAACAAAGCAATGCTAGTGATGAGATTACATGTTCTGCCAGTGAACTATGCCTCTCCCCACTCCCTTCTCCCAAGTCTGTCTTCACTGAACTCAGTATTTACTTAGATTTTTTTTTACCTTCACTTTCAGATGTAGAAAGCCCAGCCAGGATAAAAAGATCTACAAAGACCATTAGCAAGTTGGTAGCAGAGTAGGGACCTTGTGTCTTGGTGGCCTGAAGAAACTTCTGTGATCTTATCAGGAGTCCTGGGGCTTACTTGACCCAGACTGCAGGAGGCATGTCTGTGTTTCTGGATCAAGGCCCAAGTACCTGGCCCGTGAGTCAAGTCAAGAGTGTCAAGTAGAGTCCTGATAGTCCCTGAAAAGGCCTCAGGGCTTGCTGCTCCTTGAGGGCACCTTTTCTGCTTTCTCTGCTGTGGGTAGTTCTCAAGGCTCTCCTCAGGGCTTGTTTATTGTGCTTCCAGTGTTTTTCCTTGTCCTAAGGTGTCTCAAAAGCAGACCCCTGGTTACTGCAGACACTGACACTTCCTTGGGACACAGTGCCCCATAGTGGGTTGGCTCACAGGTTCAGAAACAGGTGGCCTGGGAATTAACTGCTCCCTGGAGCGTGGATGTTTGTTAAAATAGATCAAACCTCCTAGATCAAAGACTGTGGCCTCTTCCTGAAGGCATTATGTAGACTAAAGGACAAATGGGTGAGGGCAAAGGGAAGTTCCCCTATGTCTCCTGCTAATCAGAGGCTCATGAATGCTAATGCTTGCTTCTAAGATGAAATAGACAAAATTGATAGTACGTGAGCAGGAGGACAGGCTCAGTGAGGAACTGCATACAGATGTGCTCAGAGAACCAGCAGGGTCCAGTGCACAGGTAGGGACCAAGGGGCTTAAAGAAGCTGAGCTGGGGATGGAGTACACTTAAGAGTGTTGTTAAGTATGCCCAAGGCCCTTGGTTCAATCCTCAACCCTGAATAAGCTGAGCATGGTGACATGCCTGTAATCCTAACTCTCCAGTGGAGGAGGCAGGAGAATGACTTTAAGGTCATCAAATGGCCTCTTGGTCAAGTGAGTGGTT